AAAATTAGTTTGAGGTGGAGGTGTGTGATCTAAGAGGAAATGTCCAGTGGCAGGCTCTTGGAGACGGGGAGCTGGAGTTCAGGGACAGGGGTGGCTGGCTGACGTGGGTGCAGGGGCTTGCCCAGTAGCTGCAGACCAGGGTGGTCTTGAGGCTCTTGAGTGAGACCCCTTTGGTTGAAAATAATGGAAACTTGCTTCAGGGCAGCCCAGGCAGGAGAAAACATTGTTGGGAAGGATGCTGGGAAGCTTCTCAAACTCCTCGGGGACTGGAAGCATGAGGTACGAACAGGTCAGAATCCAGGCATTAGTGTCGGTCTCTCTTCTTCTTTTTTAAAAATTCATTCAATATCTATTCAAGCTATAACAATGTACTTGGTTTAGGTACCCATGATGAGCTAAGAAAAAGACTTGACTGGCCATACAGCATATAGAGTGTGTGTCTTTTTTCTCTCCCCTTCTGCCTGTCTGTCTTACCATGAGGTGTTGACTCCACTGTGTTCTGTTCTTCTCCCTGCGGACATCAATCTCTTGGTGAGCATGGCCAGATGTGGCCACTCTGCAGCTGCTTTACAGTCTGTATTTTAAGTAACTTGCACACATCTTATCTTTGACTCGAAATTCTGGTGGTGGTGGGGGAATCTATAAGGCCCAGCTTGGCCCAACCTTGGTGACATCATCTCTGACTGGAAGCAGACACCCAAGTGATGGGGGTTGGGGGTAGGTGGCCCTTCTAAGAGAAGGAACATGCCAAGCAGGGCCTTGCCAGAGTACAGTGTTTGCATCTTTGCTGGTGTGAACTGTGGGAAAAATAGTCCTTGCCTTTCATAATGAACTTAACGGAGCCCCCCAGCACTGATGTGGCTGCTTCTGGAAAGCATGAGAAGCATTTCTTTTGGGGATGGGTAGAGGACCTTTGAAGTTGTCCCAGTTGACCCTGAGAGTCGGCAATTACAAAGGAAACAGCAGAGTTAGGGTATCTGAGCCTGAAGGATGTGTTCTTGGCTCGGGGGAGAGGAGGATATTTCTCCTGTGTTCCTTCCTCTTAGCCAGAGTAGACTCATCTTTCATGTAGTTAGTGCTGTCCTGAACTTGGATACACTCATCTTTCCTGGCCATGAAATCTAGGGCTTTGTTGCTAATGGTTTTACTGGAACTCTTTCTCTATTTTACTGGAATATTTATGAGTCCTTGGAGACCACAAGAGCATATGTGTGAATGGATCTCCCTCCTCCCCGTGAAGAGAACTCAACTTACTGGTTTCCTTCAGTCTTGGCTATAAACTGTTTTTTCTAACTTCTTCTCTGCATCTGAGCCACTGACTCATTCTTTGTCCATCTGTCCATCCATCCATCTATCCATCCATGTTTACTGCATACCTATGGTGAGTCAAGCACTGTAATACAAGGCAGGGTCTTTCTTACTTACATGTTCAGGCATCAGCCTTGCCACCTTCTTGACAGTTGTCTCTCCCTAATTCCCTTTTGGATGGATAATGGCAGAATGTGCTCTGGGGAGTGAGGGTGACCCTTGGCCCACCTTCTGCCTGCTCCAGCTGAAGTAAGGCACCTGTAGCCCAAAGCCACTCTGCTCTGTCATGTTTCTGGGGTTTGTTTATGCTGTTCTCACTTCCTGGGATGCCTCATTACCTTCATCTTCTTCCTCAGTCTGTCAAAGCCCTTTTTCATCTTTTAACATCTGCCACAGCATCCTCTTCCTGGAGAAGTTGCTGGTGTAGAAGCCCAGCCTTGGCCTTCAGAGTGTTCCTTGTGGATGCGCTGGTCTGCTTCTGTGTATGCAGCTGGACTTGAACTCTGTGAGGTCCGGGACTGTCTCATTCATCTTTATATCACTCCAGTGATAGAGAAAGGATCAAATGCTACTGTGGTCAACAAGATAGAGAAGAAAAGGAAAGGATAAAAAGAAAAAGAAGAAAAGTCACTCATAATTCCATTATCCAAAGATGCATTTTGGAGAAGACCTTAGGATATTTTATACACAAAAAATCTATATGGTTAAAGTTACCATTTATCTTGCTTTTCCAATTAACTTTCTTACAGTCCACAGGAGTGCCAAGGTAAGATTTTAGAGGCCTCTTCATGTTGTACAGCCAATTTCTTCTTTACTGTTGACCATTTATATTCTATTCAATTTTGACATAAAAAACCACCATGGAGCACATTTATGCCTCAATCTTTGTTTGCCTCTGATGATTTCTTTTGGATGTATTCCCAGGAGTATACTTACTGGGTCAGAGGAACTGTTAATGTTTCAGACTTCATGGCAACTTGCCTTCTCAGAGATTGTGCCAGTCTCTCTCCCATCCACACTTTTGATGGATTTGTGAATTTTTTTTTTTTTTGTGGTCGTTCTGGGAATCAAACCTAGGATGCTGTATATACTAGGCAAGTGTTCTATCACTGAGCTATATCCTTAACAAAAAGAAACAAAACCCCCAAACAACAATAAGAACAACAACAAAAACCCAAAGCACCAATGGCCTCCTGAGTGGCAGTGGTTGCAGGATAGGAGCCAGGGTGTGGAGAAAATGACGTGTTCTGCACAACCCTGGGGTGGGCTGGGGGTTGTCCTTCTGATACCAGCCCAGCTGCCCTTTTTCAGGCAGGACACTGGCCCCGGGAGCCTCCAAGACTGCACAGCTTGATGGAACAGGGAGGAAGCTACTTACTGGCCTTTAGGCATAGAGCACACAGCAGCACTCCATTAGCCACACATCCATTAATGAGGGACTCAGGCTCGGAAGCCAGGCTGGTTTTATGAAGCCTCCGGGGAATGAGAGGAAAAAGTGGTGTGGATGAAGCATTTGTTGCTGTCACAATCTGAGGAGGTCAGGGCTGCCCATTCATCTGCATAGGGCCACTTGGCCACTTAAGGCCAGAAGCAAATGTAGGTTCTGAGAGATGAGTCATTTGCCTGTCATTTGCCTGAGAGCTGAACTTGTAGCCTCTTGGACATGTACAGCTGCAGAAATGTTGTGAATGCTCTTGCTGATTTTTGCCGACACTGACATTTATGGAACTGATGCCATTCGGAGGACACTGGAAAATAAAAAATAATGAGCGCTAGTCACATTTTTATTTTCTAGCTGATTGTATATAGTGAGGATTTTTAAATAAATTATATTTTGAAATTGATTTTACATTTTCACTTAGTAAATTAAAAAATGAATTGAGTTTAATGTGAGCAAGATGAGATGGGAAATTACCTGCTGGTATGTTCTTGCTGGTTCCTTTAAATTTTTCTTTGTTTCATTTAATCCTTGAAATGGTAATTGCTGTTATTTCTTATTTTTGTAGATGAGGAGATTGAAACTTAGAAAAGTTTTATAACTTGACCAAAGCCATAAAGCCAAAGTATGGTAGAAGTGAGATGAGAATCTCTGTCTGCATCCAGAGCCCATGCCCTGCCTAATATTCAGACTGTGGGTCCTGCAGAAGTTGGACAGAAGCCAGCTGCCATTATCTGTGCCTACGGGAGGGAGGACTGTGTGTCCCTAGGAAAGCCTGTTGTGGTTTCTGCTGGTACGTGATATACTGAGATGTATTTGGAGGAGCTGCAGAGAGAATGTGGATGGAGAAGTTGGACTGTTCCCAGCTTCTCTGGTCTTGGATCTTCCGTAGGGAAATAGAGAAAGTAGACCATTTTGGCTAAAGAGGTAGAATTGGACTGGCCTGTGGTGCAGGAGCTTGCAAGTAACAGGTTCAAGTCAGTAGAATAAAGAGCTCCTTAAAGTGATCCACAGCAGGTCAGCCTCTTTTGGTGACAGCAGGTTCTTGTATGTGCAGGGATCCCAACGGGGAGGAACAGCATCCCAAAGTGCTCTGAGCTTTTGCTAGGTGGCAGATGGCCTGAAAGGTCCCTGTGGCCCTGTCAGCCTAACTCTAGGTGGCTGCCTCTGCTGCAGATACTATCTAGGGTCTCCAGGCATAGAAGAAAGGTTTTAGGGACAGACAAGTATTTTATTGACGTACTTTTTTGGAGGAACATGTCCAGTGTACAAGTTTTTGAATTACCGTTATTGATAGTTAATAGGATTATACATGATTTTGATTCTTGTTTTTCTTTTCAGTGTTTAACATTTTTTTCTACAAACATAAATGAGTTGTTTATGTTAACAGAAGCAAGTTAAACCTTGGGTTTAACGAGGTCAGTATTTATTAACTTGGGTTAAACGTTTGTTTAACTATGTCGGTATTTATTGACTGCCTATCCTGGTTGGTATTGTCTATATAAGAGAAAGAAAATGTAGTCCCTGCCCTTAAGGAGCTTACAGTCTAATGGGGAGGGGACGATGTAGCCACACATTGTTTGGTCCGAGAGGAGGCTATATAAAGTGCCAGGTGTGCGGAAGGTGCATGTGCCTTATAGAATCCTCCACCTAAGGAGCTCAGGGAAGGGTTTCACAAATGTAGCCTTGGATCTGAGCGGAAAACAAGGGCTGTTTTGTCCTCAGTGGGCATTCTTAATATCCAGAGACAGACATGATATTTTTGATTGTCACACTGGGGTAGAGGAAATGCAACTGGCACCCAATGGGTAGAGCCCAGGGATGGTGCTGTACATCCTACAATGCTTATGATGAATCCCCTGGCCTCAGATGTCATTAATTCTAGGGCTTCTAGTCCAGTGCATTAGAAGCTTGCACAGGACTTTGGCAGACAAGAGCAGGGGGAGAGCACTCCCTGCCAAGGAATGGAGGCTAAGCATGGTAGTGAAACACATGTGTGGACATGGGAATTAGTGGAGGATGCATGAACCTGGTGGAGCAGCTGCAACAAGATGTCAGAGGTCTTTGATACCAAGATAAGCAATTTGGACATTTTCCTATGGGCAATAGGGAGCCATGGAAGTCTTTTGAGCAGTGGAATTGCTCCATCAAGAGTGGTGTCGGTTCTTAATACCCCAGCTTTGCTTCATTGCTTACCCCTCTGCGTAGCCACAGAGACTAAAACACACCCATATTTTCCTGTTTTCCTCCCCAGCCTGTCCACCCTTTGGCTCCCACCATCGGAAGGAAAGCTCTGTCAGCACTCTGCCTGGCTGACTCAGGATTCCCATCTGCTGGTGACAAAGAGGTGCAGCAAAAACGATCCCTTTTTGACCACTTCTCTTCCTGCTGCAATTTCCAGGAATCTAGTGTAGCAAAGGTGACTGTCCATGAGTGTTCCTATGGCCTTGCTGTTGTTTGGGTGTTTGCTAACATCCTCATACTATCTCCGGATGCAGAGTGGAGTGTAGAGGGGCCAAGCATGTTCAGCAGTGTCCACGAAGTGGAAACCACTGAGCAGAGGCCAGGGCTGGACCTGGGCCAGACAGAAGTGTGGAGTAACAGTGCCTGAGCTAGGGGAGGGGAGGGCAACCCGGAACTCAACATGGTGCTTTCCTCTGTTGGTCACTGTGGACTCACCAGCGATAGTACGGTGCTGGACACCACCTGTGCTACCGGGTGAGTGTCCCTTATCTGAAATGTGTGGGACAAGAGGTGTTTCAGATTTGGGTTTTTTTTTTCAGGTTTTGGAATGTTTGCATATATATAATAAGATCTCTTTGGGGTAGCATCCTTGCAATTTGACTGTCACCTGTCACGTGAGATCCCATGTGGAATTTTCTACTTGTGGCATCATGTTGACATTCAGAAGGCTTTGGAATTTTGCAAGATTTCAGACTTTTGGATTAAGGATGCTTCTGTAGTAATCACTGAGTAAATGTTTTCTGAATAAAAGAGTGAGGAGACCAAGGTCTAAGGATGAAATGTGATACCCCAAGATCATTCAGACACTTGGGGTCAGAGCGGAGCCTAGTACCAGGGTTTCCAGCCCCATTGGCCCTTCCCTGTGTCACATCTCTCTTCCATGCCCAAGGATACAGTGTCTTCATCCTAGGTCAGGCCAGGTCCCTTTAGTCTGCTGTTCCTTGAATTCACTGCTCCCCAATCAGATCAACCAATCAACCCTAAAAAATGGCTTGCCCTTCCTACCTGCTTCCAGTGGTCATGGAGCCTTACATTCCTCTGTACTAAATGTTAGAGACTTCTGGTCATTTTAGTTATACCCCTGGGATATGTCACTACATCCGTGTTGTTTTTTTTTTGTATTGAACTCAGGACCTTGCACTTACAAGGCAAGTGGTGGAACCACTGAGCTAAATCCCTGGCCCCATCACTACATCCTTAGTGATGCCTCCATCTTTAGTAAAAGGCAAAAGATTTATACGATCTGAAGAGAAACAAGAATATGATGCCTCCATCTTGACAGGCAAGGTGCAGTGGGAATGGGAGGGTGGAGGAAGGACCCTCCATGGTGCTGAAGTTTTAGCCAAATTATTCCATTGATAGCAAGTCCTTTTTGGGTCAAATACAGAAAGGGCATGGTGTGAACTTGTTAGCTGGTTTCTCTCTTTATTTTGGGAGGGACCCAAGCTGGACCTCGGGCATCCTGAGACCATGCCCCTCTCCACCAGAGTGTTTGAGAAGAGACATTTCCCTGATGGTGCAGTCCCAGAACCAGTGAATTGGGGTATAGGATGCTCTTATGATCCTCAAAGACAGTGGTCCCCCTCCCCATATCTGCAAAAAATAGCCATATCAGACCCTGCTCCAACCCCAGTGAGAATCTGTCTTGCAGACAGTGGCTGTCTTTGGTCTCCAGCCATGTAACATTCCTGGGTTTTATAGGAACAAGGGCTTGACCCAACCCCGTCCCAGAGTGGTCAGATAACTCCCATGGTGCCTCCCGTGTCATGCCTCCTGGTAGGCTGTCATAGCCCATAGGCTCTGCTTAGAATTTCCTCTAAAGGAAAAACATTTTTTTTTGCAAGTCTGTGTAACATTTCCAATTTCAAGGTCTTTTCTGATATATTATCCTATTTAACACCCTCCCCCTGCATCTGTGGGAACACCCCATTTTGCAGGGGTGCTAAAACAACTGAGACTTTTAGGCCCCTATCCAAGGACCCAGGTCTGGTCAGCAGTGCTGAGGTCCCTGAGGTTCAAGGTTTCCATAGATACCCTTCCTTTTGTGGTGCTGTATAAGTTTCAGGGGCCACATCCCCCTGTTCACATATGTGCCCAGCTCATGGTAGGGAAAGACTTGGGATGCCATGCAGTCGGAGGGAGATAGAGAGGATGGTTTGTGCAGAAGGCCTTTGGTGCAGGATTCTGGGTCTGCAAAGACACATGGCACACACTCTCATGGGAGATCCCAAGGTGTGGGGTAGGACCCCAATATAGTGAAATGGACACAGGCTCATGTTTCTGTTTGCTTTCAGCAGAACCCGTTATGTCACTGAGTGTGCCTTGTCAAGTAGGCCTGTGTGTTAGGTGATCTCATCTTAAATAAACCAATCCTCATAGTGACTGAAGATTTCCCAGCAAAGTTGAGGATTCATGCTCATATAATAATATGTGTGTAAACAGGTGTGCTGGCACATACATGTAATCCCAACTGCTGAGGAGGCTGCGGCAGGAGGATCATAAATGCAAGGCCAGCCTGGGTAATGTAGCAAGACTTTGTCTCAAATACAATATAAAAAGAGCTGGGGATGTAGCTCAGTGATAACAGGTTCAGTTCCCAGTACCATAAAACAAACAATAACAACAGTGAAAAAGACAATGCATGGTCAAAATATTTTACTGATTTTGTCCGATCAAAAGAGTTAAAACACCTGCAATTTAGTACCCAGTCTTTGAAATCTCATATCCATCCCTGCCTGGGACATGCTGGGTGACCTTAGCCCAATTACTTCTCTCATCATTATGTCCCCTGTGAAGTAGAGATTAGTATCATGCCCGCATCATAGAAGTTTTCTATGTATCAATGCCTGTAAATTGCTTAAAGCCATGGTGAACACTTGGCAATTGGCAATGGTTACTTTGTGTGGTCAACAATTGTTTTTTTCAAAATGTGATATTTTCCTTCCTAGTGCTGGTTCTCTGAATAACAAGTCCTGCCTACTTACAGGTCTCTTATGCCCCCCCATGATTATGGCCATTCAGGGGTCACAACTAGAAAAAAGGCATATTGTTTCCATTCTAAAATAAAATTTCTTACATCCCTATCCTCAAAGTCAACTCTTTCTGTCTTGGAATTTTAAATTTTTCTCTCCTTCTTAGTATCCAACTTTTACCCATTCTCTTCGTATTTACAAATGCAAATGGCACAACTGTTAGAATAATTCTTACTCTGTAGTGGTTGTGAGGAATATCTATTTTCTAAACAAAGTAAAATGCTTGTTATATGCTAACCTCTTAACTACTAAGCAGTACTCTACCATACTTTGTAGAGCAGTTCCAAAGATTGCCCTTCAGAACATAAAAAATTATTACCCAGACTAAGGCTTCTGCTTCCCTTGCAGGGATGGGGTTGCGAATGGTGTAGGGGCCCTTGGACTTGTATAGCCAGCATGGAGATATTGGCTCCCTGGTGTCCTCCTGAGGAAGTAGAAAGTGGCAGGCCTTCTTCTTCCACATCCTTTACAGGGCAGGTGTGTGGGAGCTCCCCAGAGTGGATTTTTACCCTACTGCTCCACACTGCCCAAGGTGCCCTACCTCAGAATGAGGTCCAGAGCCATCAGCCCAGCCATACTCAGGTAGCTGTCACCTGTGTTTGTTTGGTAACTGCCCTGCACTCATTTATGATTAAGATGTACTGGACATTCTCCTTGCAAAATTTGAATTTTTCTCACTGAAGGAAACCTGGTAGGTTTCCAGATTGCTTTTCATGGAGTTTTGGGTCTAATCAGGGTGGCATTCTGGACACAAGCCAAACTTCCTTTTCTTTCAGACAATCTTTGTTCTTCCATGAGCAGGTGAGACAATCTGAGGTCTGAACTTAATTTGCTTTCTCCTAATTCCTCCCTTCCCTTTGGGTTAGGTGACAGCATTGCTTTTGTTAGCTGCCCTGAGCCTTTCTGCTGAGAAACTCAGTGGCCTAGACTAATGGTAAGTTCTTATGAGCCACACAATTATTTATAACCAAGCCACCTCAGATCTGTTGTATAAAAAATAAGTACATAAGATATCAATTGCAGGAACATTTCTTTCTTTCTTTTTTTTGAAGGGGGGTTGCTGAGGTTTGAACCTGGCCCTTGTGCATGCTCAGCACATGCTCTACCACTGAGCCACACCCCAGCCCCAGCAGGAACATTTTAATTGGGTACCTTCTGAATAGAACAGAATATGCAGCAAGTTCTTTTTCTCTACCATCAGAATCGTTTAAAAATTGTTTAAATTGCCTGTTAGTTTCCACTCATCTTAAATGTCAGTTCAGTATGTATTCACAGTGTTGTGGGAACCAATGTCCAGGACCTTTTCATTTTGTGAATTGGAAATTGAAGCTCTATACCTCATAATCAACTCCTTATTTTCTCTTTCTCCCAAACTCCTAACAGCCACCATTCCACTTTCTGTTTCTATGAATTTGATTTACCTAGTAGGTAAAGTGTTCCTCTCATAAATGGAATCACTCAATGTTTGTCTTTTATTTCACTTAGCATAATGTCTCATAGTTCATTCATTTTGTAACATGTGTCAGAATTTCCTTTTTTAAAAGCCTGAATAATAGTCATTCATACATATATTCCACATTTTGTTTATCCATTCATTCACTGGTGGACACTTAAATTGCTTTCCATCAAATTCCATCTGTTGTGAGTAATGCTGCTGTAAACATGGTTGTGCAAATATCTTTTTGAGACAGAATTATTTTTAAGGCTCAGCTGCATTCACAGTATTAACCTGGGTGATTTTAACAGATGAGGAAATCAGTAATGCAACCTACCAGCTGAGGCTCATTTAACAGTATTTTTTCGTGTGGTACATAGGACTGTAAGCAGGAGGGAAGCAGCCTCAATATGAGGAAAGGAATGGAAGGACCTGGGTTCCTATCTGGGCAGGAGTATCTGATTGGTGGAGACTGAGCCATAGGTCCATATCTCTACTGCAAGAGAAGCTGGGAAATTGAGCAATGAACATTTTAGCTTCAAGTATATAAAGTGAAAACTTCCCTGCATGACACAGTGAGGGTCATTGCTGTGCTGGGAGCCAGAAAGATGCCAAATGCCTATCACACCAGCTATCTTAGTTACTTTTCTTGTTGCTGAGATAAAAATACTTGACACTGAAAGTTAAAAGGAGGAAAGGTTTATTGTA